GCAAGGTCGAATTCGAGTCATGGTAGTGGGAGCGGGGAGGAAACCTTTAGGAACTAGAGGAAAGTTGTATTTCTCAGCATTGTTACATCGCACCCTGACTGGCTCATCTCCTCCCTGAGACCCCTCTGCAAGGGGATCTCCAGTGGCCTACTAATGGGCTTTGGATCTCCACTCCGCACTCCCCCCATCATTCACTATGGTAAGATTTTTTTGTTCTGATGATGCCTTACACCTGATCCCTTCGACACCTCGTGGTTGCATAGGCTGGTGTGCTTCTTCCATGTGGGCTTTTCTGTGTGTTTTAACGTGGCTGCCATGGTTACTTTAAGGAGATAACTCATCGTAGCTTTGATTTGGCTATGTGATGGCTAGTGATCATGAGCATTTTATCATATGTTTGTGAGCCATTTGGGTGTTGCCTTTTCATATCCTTTCCCTACTTTTTAACTGTGTGATTCATTTTCTTCTTGAGGTACTGTCATTTTCTATAGCTTTAGAAATTAGTCTCTTATCTGTTGTAGTGTTGTCAATTTTTTCCCTCAGGTCATGGGTTCTCTTTTTACATTTTGATAAAGTCTTTTTATACATTCAATTGTCTTATTTTATTAGGTGTCAGTCATCTATATTGTCTGCTGTGTACACTTCCTTCATTATGTTTGATATGCCCTGCAATAGGGCCCATATGTTTGCCCCTATTTTTCATGTCTTTGATCCATTTGAGTTCATTCTTATGCATGGAACGAGGTATGGGTCCTGTTTCATTTATCTGCAGGTAGAGATCCAATTTTACCGGCACTATTTCTTGAAGAGGCTATCTCTTTCCCATTTAATGTTTATGGCCTGTGTTGGTCTGGGTGGACTAGAGAAACAAATTCATAGGCACTCAATGTGTATAAGAAAGAGCTTTATATACAACAGCAATTGAATATTGATAAAACACCCCAGCCCAGTCCAGATCAAGTCCATAAATCCTATATTAGCCCATATGTCTGAAACCAATCTGTAAAATCCTCTTCAGACTCACAAAACACATGCGATGACGTTGAATGCAGGAAGATCACAGGCCAGTGGGTGGAAAGTCTTGTGGATCTAGGGGCAGTAGAAGGATCCCAAGGCTGGCAGGGGTCTCTCCACGTGGCTCAGCTGCATCAGCGTAGCTCCATCAAGCTTGTAGTCAGTAATGTCTCACAGAGAGTGAGTGTGTGTCCCGCCTCCAGTGAGCTAGTTTTCTCCTTAGCGCCTCCAAATGATGCCATCAAGCTGCAACCTGATTCACAGGCTAGACTCCACCCCTCTAAAAGTTGACACCTGCTTATGTAACTATCTCATGGCCCTTTGTTGAAGATCAGTTGTCTGAAGGTGGATGAATTTAATTCTGGGTTCTTTATTCCATACAATTGGACCAAGCTGTTATAACTATTATAGCTCTGTAATAGATCTTGAGATCGAGAAGGGAGTGGCTATCTATTTTGTTCTTGAGAGGTTCTTTGATTATCCTGGCTCTCTTACCTTTCCGTGTGAAGTTAGTAATCAGTTTTTGGATCTGGATCAGAATTGCATTCTATTTATAGATTCCTTTGGGTAGTGTTGACAATTTCCCACTATTATGCCTCCTTATCCATGAATATAGGATAATTGGTGAAGTAGTGGCTACGCCTTGGGCTGCTAACCACAAAGTTAGCAGTTTGAGACTCCCAGCTGCTTGAGACTCCCAGCTGGGTGAAAGCTGTGGCTGTCTAGTCTCAGAAGGAGTTACAGCTTTGGAAACCCCTAGAGGCCGTTCTACTCTGTCCTGTACAGTAGCCTTGAGTTGTGATCGACTCAGTGGCAATGAGTTTGGTTTTGGGTCCATGAACATGGCCTATTCTTCCATTTGTGTAGAGCTCGTTTGGTTTCTTGTGGTACTTGTTCTGTAGCTATCTTTGTACAAGTCTTTTGTTTCTTTGGTTAAGTTTACTCCTAAGTATTTCATCTTTTGTGTGGCTCTTATAAATGATATTGTTTTCTTGATTTCCTTTTCAGAGGTCTCTTCATTAATACACTGGAACTTGATTTTTCCCCCCCTACATTAATCTTGTATCCTGCCATGATGATAAATCTCTTGATAGTTTCCAACATTTGTCAAATTAATGAATTTTTTATATGTAAAATCATATTATCTGCAAATAGAAAGAGCTTCACTTCTTTCTTACCAATCTGGATTCTTTGATATATTTTTGTTGCCTAATAGCTCTAGCTAAGTTTTCCAGCACAATGTTAAATAACAGTGGGGATAGGATCATTTGTGTCTGGAGCCCATTGTAATCTTTTACGTTTGTCTCCATTGTTGGAGAGATTGGCCATTGGTTTTGCCTATGTGGCCTTTATTGACTTGAGAAATTTCCCAAGTATCCCTATTTTGTTGAGTAATTTTTAAAAAATGAGGAATGGGTGTAGGACATTGTCAAATGCCTTTTCTGTGTCTATTGATATGATCATATGGTTCTTATCTTTTGTTTTGTGGTGGAATACACCAATAATTGTTGTGGGGTTGAAACGTCCTTGTGCACCTGGTATGAATCCCATTTGATCATGGTATATATTTTTTGCTATATTGTTGAATTCTTTTGACCAGGAATTTGCTGAGACCAATTGTATCTATGCGCAGGCACAGATTATTGATCTGTAGTTTTCCACCTTGATAGTGTCTTTTCCTGGTTCAGGTATCAGGGTTATGCTAGCTTCATAAAGTGAAGATCCAGAGGGGTCTCGGGAAGGAGATGAGCCAGTCAGGGTGCCATGTAACAATGATGAGAAATACAACTTTCCTCTAATTCCTAAATGTTTCCTCCCCGCTCCCACTACCACTACCATGACTCGAATTCGACCTTGCAAGTCTGGCTAGACCAGAGGATGTACACTGGTACAGATAGGAACTGAAAATACAGGGAATCCAGGGCGGATGAGCCCTACAGGACCCGTGGTGTGAGTGGCGAAACAGGGAGGGTAGAGGGAGAGTGGGTAGGAAAGAGGGAACCGATTACAAGGAACTATATGTGACCTCCTCCCTGGGGGACAGACAACCGAAAAGTGGGTGAAGGGAGACGTCGGACAGGGCAAGATATGACAAAATAACAATTTATAAACTATCAAGGGCTCATCGGGGAGGGGGAGCGGGGAGGGAGGGGAAAAATGAGGACCTAATGTCAGAGGTTTAAGTGGAGAGAAAATGTTTTGAGAATGAAGTACAAATGCGCTTTACACAATTAATGTGTGTATGGATTGCGATAACAGTTGTATGAGCCCCTAATAGAATGTTTTAAAAAAACCCAAAAACAACAACAACAAAAGAAGTGAAGATCCGGGCACTATTCTTTCTGATAGCAAGGCACCCATCATCTGATTTCTTTACCTGATTTTCCTACAGCATCCGTATCTTCAGCGATCCCCTCATGAGGACAAGTGTGGAATAGGGCCTGTCATAAGATGTAATTGTTCTTCAACTCACTCACTAGTGTCGAGTTGATACCACCTCATGGCGACCTTGTAGAACAGGATAGAACTTCACCTGTAGATTTCCAAAACTATAACTCTTTACAGAAGTACAAAGCCCCTTCTTTCTCCTGTGGAGCTGCTAGTGGTTTCAAACTGCTAACTTTGAGGATTGCAGTCCAATATGTAACCACTATGTCACATTCTTAGGAGGTTATTCTAGGGCTTATTATTCAATGTGAGCTTAAAATCCAATCCTATATCTATGGTTTATTTATGTCCCTGGTTCACTTTAGAGACATCATTACCATTGGGGGTGGTGGATATTATCAATCATTTCCACATGATATGGTAATTTTATTGATCATATCATTAATTTAGCCAAAGGTATAGAATATAAAATACTGTTGGGAAAAAAAAAGTATACACATATAGAACAGCTTTTTAAACTAAAATCCATGGATTGTGGACTTGTACTGATTAAAAAACAAGTGACTGGATACTATTTATGCAAAAAATGAGGGTCGAAGCTAGGAAAAACTTTCAATAATGCTCATTCACTAAGGCAGAGTATAATAGCAAATATATGGTAGTCTTAAATTCACAAGTATTGGTTATTCTTGAAGCAAGAGATTTGAACCAAAGTCCAATGGTTTCCAAATCCAAATTTAGGATAGTCATCTGCTTATTCTCACACTAGGGCATTTCAGCCTTAAGTCCAAGGGAGTATTTCTGTTCCTTTGATCTGCAGGTTTGTTTAAGGTAAAGTCTGGTTTGCTAAGTGGGGTTTCCAAATTGGATCCTTCTGGTGTGGTCTATGAAGGATATTGTGTACCTCAAAAAGACAAAGTCTAAAGTCCCAGTAATCTGTAACACACAGTCTGGACCACCAAGAAACTCAGTATAAAATGCCTGATTATGAACTAATACAGGGTATATTCTCCTATTGGGGGGTCTATATATGGTAAGAGTTTTTCTCAATGGCAGGTTTCCCCTCTGGGTTTACTCCCCAGTAGAAGTGAAATCACATTCTCTGAGACAGAGACAACCACACCCCTCAACTCTGCACTTTGATTTCCATTACAATTCCCTGAAGACCCATACAGGAATGGCTGTTGATTTGGGGGTCACCATGGAGCAATGCTGTATGGCTGGAACTGATTGGTCTTCTCTCGCTCCTCCCAACATGAGAAACTTACCTCAGCTGGGATGTGTCTCCTCTGCCAAAGTGGTTTTTAGATGTACACATAAGGGTCTGATATATGGATAATGAACATCAGGTAGGCATACCATCCTGTTGCTTGGATACTGGATTAGACTATATGCACTGAGAACAGATGCCTGCCTTTGTTTTGGTGTTTATCCTTATAACAGTGGTCTCATACAATATTTGTCCCTTTGTGGTTGATTAACTTCGCTTAGTAGAATGCTTTCCCGGTCCATTCATGTCATGTAGTGCTTCCTGGTTTCATCACTGTTTTTTAGAGATGCATAGTATTCCATTGTGTGTATGTACACAGTTTCTTTACCCATTCTCCCACTGACGGACATTTGGTCTCCTTCCAATTTCTTGTTACTGTGACCTGTGATGTGATAATCATCTAAGTGCATACTTCTGTTCTTGTTGAATCTCATGTTATATCTTCTTTCGGGTATATACCAGGCAACGGTATTGCTGGGTTGTATGATATTTCTACTGCCAGTTGTTTTAGGTAGTATCATAACGCTTTGCACAAGGGTTGTACATGTTTACAAGTGCACCAGCAGTGTGTGAGAGCTTTAATCTCTCTGCACCCTCGCCAGCATTTGTTGTTTTCTATATTGTTTCATTTTTTTAAACTGGACTATCATTGTCCATGTAAGATGATATCTCTAGTAATCATGAGCATTTTTTTCAATGTGTTTGTTAGCCATTTGAATGTCATTTTTGGTGAAATGTATGGTCATGTCTTTTTCCTCCTTTTTAATTGGATTATTTGTTTGCTTGTTTCTTATTGAGTATTGCCATTTTCTGTGGATTTTAGAAATTAGTCCCTTGTTACTGTGACCTGTGAACTGTGTAGTTGCTAAAGACTTTTCCCCAGTCCATTGGCTCTCTTTTTAATCTTTTGATGAAGTTTTTATTAAATTTATATGCATAAGTGTTTTATTTTTAATAGGTCCCAGTCATCTATTTTGTCGTCTACTGTGTGGCCTTCCTTTAGTACATTTGGCAGTATGTGTATGCCCTGCTGGGAGAAAGACACGGCTTTCCGCTCCTATAAACAGTTAGAGTCTCAGAAACTCACAGGGGCAGTTCTATCCTCTCATATCGAGCTGCTGAGTTGACACTGGCACGATTGCAGTGATTTTGTTTTGTTTGTTTGGTATGCCCTGGAATAGGACGCACATTTGTTCCTGTTTTCTCGTTGATGATCCTTGTACCTCTGAGATTGACATGTAGGCCTTTGATACATCTTGAGTTTGCTCTTGTGCATGGAACGAGGTAGGGGTCCTGATTCATTTTTCTGCAGGTTCAATTTTGCCAGCACCATTTGTTGAAGAGGCTATCTCCTTCCCATTTAATAATTTTTGGCCCTTTGTCCAAGATTAGTTGCTTGTAAGCAAGTGGATTTATTTCTGCATGTGCCAGTACCAGGCCGCTTGGATTACTGTGATTGTGTCACAGATTTTGAGAGCAAGTAGTGTGAGGTCTCCTACCTTCTTCTTGTGGAGTTCTTTCCTTATCCTAGGTACTTTCCCGCTCCATACTAAGTTCGTGATTATGTTGTCCATTTCACTAAAGAAAGAAGTTGCTATTTGGATGAGAACTGCATTACATTTATGGATTGTTTTAGCTAGTATTATATTTTCACAACAGTAAATCTTCCTGTCTATGATCATAGGGCATTCTTCCACTGATGTAGGTCTCTTTGTTTTCTTATAGTACTGACCTTTAGTGTTCTCTGTACAGGTCTTTTGTTTCTTTGGTTAGGCTTATTAGTATTTGATCTTTTGTGTGGCTTTTATAAATGGTACTTTTCCTTGATGTCTTTTCAGAGTACTCTACCCTGGTATACAGGAATGTAATTGATTTCTGCTTGTTAATCTTTTATCTTGTTCCATGACTGAATCTCTTGATTGTTTCCAACAATTTTTGTTGTTGTTGACTCTTTCGCATTTTCTATAAATAAAATAACAGCCTCTGCAAATATTGAGAGTTTTACTTCTCCTTTGCCTGACTGTATTGCCTGGATTTATCTTCAATGTGTATGGTTCTGAACCTTCCAGTATAATGAGAAATAAGACTGGTGGGGGGAATCCTTGTATGGTTTCTGTTCCCAGGTGAAATACTTTCAGTTTTCCCCCATTGAGTATGATATTGTCCATTGATTTTTTATATATGGCTTTTATTGTGTTGAGGAATTTCCCTTCTTTTCCTATTTTATTGGGTGTTTTTGTCAAGAATGGATGTTGAGCTGTCGAAGGGATCAGGTATCAAGCATCCAAGAACAAAAAATCATATCATTGTAAAGGTGGGTGAGTGCAGAGTGGAGACTCAAAGCCCATTGGTG